TTGGTGAGAATTCTCTCCTGTTCGTTGGTCAGTTCTAATCCTTGCAACCTCCCTGCTCCTAGATTCCACCCGGTATACTCAACCCGCCTCTTCTGGAACGCTTCTCGCTGCTCCGACGATCCACCTTACTGCTTCGGAGACGCACCATGCCACTCCAGCGGAACCGAGCCAGAGCAGTGCGGCAGCTGACGAGTGGTACAAGGGAGCCAAACTGAACGTTCAGTGGTTGTTGAACGCCTTCGACTGCCTTCTCCAAGAGAACTGGCAGATAAGCGGCAGGAAGCGAGCTGTGCTGGTGTGCATCATCTGCGCAGAGCACGAGGTGGAGGCAGCCAAGGCTTCGGTAAACGGGCGCGTTTGCACAGCCAGCGGCGTCAGAGCGGACTGCAAGAGAAGCTGATGGGCGTGGCGGATCATATGCACGGAAAATTTCATGCCGTTACTGTGGATGCGAAAAACCTGGAGCAGTAGTGGATTAGCCGAAGCTCGAAACACCCGTGGATGTCCATCCTCAAGAGAACTGCCGCTGGTGTCATCAAGACAACCACCATCACGACCAAGAAGACACTTCTGGAGCTCGCCGTTGCTGTTCACTACGATAGCCTGCACGAGACTGGCCGCTTGGTCGTGGCCAGCCCGCTCCCTCGCAGCGCTGCACGAGCAGCGAGTCTGGACAGCTATAAGCGAGGGTGGTTGGGAAATGGACCTGCAGCCAACAGAGCCACCTCCTGCAGCTCTTCACTACAGAGATCCGGACATGTACCGGGAGATGCGCAGCGTCGTCGCCAAGCTACAACGGGCCAAGATCTGCGACAAGCTTGCCGCTGGAGTTGTGTACAGCCTACAGGTCGACGAAAGTATGAACCGTCCGCAGCAAGACAACAAATTCGTCACTGCCAGGTCCATGCTGACGCTGAGCTGCAGACCTACATTCTAAGCGTTGTGGAACCGGAAGAAGATGCCACAAAAGGTCTACTAGAGGCGGTCAAAACTACTGTTGTAGGGCTGGATCTGCCTCTAGACAAGCTGTTTGGTTTGACCACGGACGGAGAGAGCGCCAACACGGGTCGCAGCAGTGGTCTCAGGAAAAGGCCCAATGACCTGCTGGGATGTCACCTGATCACCATCTGGTGCGTGTGTCACAGGGGTGACCCAGCTCTCGAGAGTGTAGAGAAGACGGTATCGGAGATCATGCACTGGAAGACGGACCTGTGTGCTCTAATAGCGCACTTCCAAACATCGAAGTCCAGGAACAAAAAGCTCTGCAGGAGCAGCGAGAATGCGGTCACTTTTCCCGTTAACATCCGAAAAATTCCAAAGCGCGGACCTGGTGTGCACTACCAGATGTGCTGAAGGCCCGCCATGCTGCGCTGCTGCAGCTGGAGTTAATGAAAGAGGAGCCACTGCCTGGTGGCCAGGAGGAAAAGTTCGTCCCAGCTGCAGACGGACCAGCCGTCAGAGCGCACAACAGCCTCGTTTGACGAAGAGAACACTTGAAGCCGTGTGGAATGAGATCGTTCAGGCCGCGACGAACTTGCTGAACGACAGGATCGATGTCGAGCAGGAACAAGTTGTGCACGAACATGGTGGTCTCTATGATGGAGTCCAGGTCAGCGAAACAGTTCATCGTTGACGGTCGCAGCTTGGCATCCCGACTGTTCGGCAGAGAGGGCGTGGCCCAGTTCACAAGAAACGCCTGTGACCAGTGGCGCAAGATGAGCGACGCCAGGGCATCCTGGCATGAAAGGAAAGCTGGTGGCGATGACGAAAAACGCTAAAAGCGCATGCAAGCAACTCTTGTCGTCGCATCTCTGCGTCACACCGCACAGCATGGGCACCGAGCGTGCTGCGTCGCACTACAGCACTGTGTGCAGCAGCCATCGCCTGGGCATGCGTCTGTCAACGGTGAACGACCCGACTTGTCATCAGTGTCAGCGGCTTGGGCACCGCGAGGTTTGGACCCGCGTCCGGCGGTTCGCGGCCTTCCTAACAAACAAAGACAAGCGCAAACCGTCAGCCGGACCCGGAGAAGTACAAGCAGCGTGAATTTGCCAAGAAGTTCTTCCGCCCCGAGGGATTGCTGTTAAGTGTACTGGGTCACGTTGGGAGCATGCGTGTCAGCGAACTGTGACGTCATGGCGAAGCTGTTGGGTGGCCGAGGCCGAGCGAAGCTGACCATGGCCGAGGTTGTAAAACAGCTGGAAATACTGAAACCTGATACACGGACATCCATCTCCACCCCAGGAGCTTCGGAGCCTCAGTAAGATGGTATAGTCGCCCGATTTCCCAAGTTTGCATGCATCCATTACCATGCATTACGTCAAGACGTGATGCCGCATTGCTGAAAATGAGTTAAGTGAGATGCATCGTGGGGGCTTTCATCGTATTCAGATCGATTACTACGTACCAAAAAACTTATCAACGGTTTCTCCAGTGTTCGCGGAAGAATTAGAACCAAAGGTACGTCGTAGAGATAACTGAAAACTCAGCAAACATGTCTCGTTTGTGTTCAGCTGACAGTTTCGGGTAAAATAACATGCAATGAGATAGCTTCGAGTTTGTTTCACTTTGATTTGATTTGATTTGATGATCATTGATTTGGACGATACTTCTAGGGGCGGAATATCCTGTGATGCTTTTGGCGGGGCCTGAGGCCCACCAACATTTTGGAGAAGCTTCACCCATGGTTGTTGTATTGATTTTCCTGTCGGTGCTATCTTAAAAGTTCAGCAAAATCGGCTGAGAGGTTTGCTTAATGAGGGATGGGGGCCATGATAATTTTTTGGATTGTCCCCCCCCCCACACCCCCAGTGACAATTCCTTATCCGAGGCCCTGCCTCATATAATATGGAAAACCCCGAGACCAACAAAGACGGCACCTGACCAATCAAAACTGCCGTGGCAGGCCAAGAAAGAGGCTCCAATGAACAGTGGAGGGTCCTCATAACGAGCGAGAAAAACCTAACGCCGATATGGTGGGACCCATGAACGAACGGGAGCACCCCGGCAAGCTAACATATAGGGTCCGGGCGGAGAACAGGATCCCTTGAACAACAGGCACTAGCCGAAGATCAGTGTGCATGAATTAACACCCGGGCCCCTGAGCATCGAGTGCCTCGGAGCGTTTCCTTATATGGGGCCCAGCGACAGCACAGGGTTCCTCCAAGCAAGTGGAAAGAACCCCATATCAATATGAAGGGCCCCTGAGCAACCGAGCGTACCCTCGCAATTGAGGCCCAGGCAGCAGCGGCAGGGCGGGGGAGCCCGCTTATCCCGCGGGCGCAGCGGTCCCCGCGGAGCCCGCGCCGTACACCATATCTCCGGCCGCGCCGGCGGCCCGGCGCATCTGTGCCCAGTCCGCCGGTAAGCCCCGGGGCGCAGCCGCACCGAGGCCGGACACGGCCGCTAGGCGTCTGGGTAATTGATAGTAACCATGCTTGACTGAACGCATCACGTGATCATCAGTGGAATATTAGGTTGACTGTGCCATCTGTTGACATGAGAGGGAAATAGTGGCCGGACTCAAAGATGCTTCTGTAGTGTTATCTAGCGGCAGAGATCCAAATTAGCCTGGTTGCCATGGATCTGGACATTTCGTCCCTACACCTTATAAGGGCCCCCAATGGCCACGGCATTGGACGTTTGCTGGATGTTATGACACTGGATGGTGCGATCCTGGACGATATGAACACTGGATGCTACGATCCTGGACTTTTTGATGGCTCCCCGTAAGTAAGGGTAAGTAAGGGGAATATGTTTTTCCTCTCGTTTCTTTGACGTCATTCCAGATCATGTATTGGTGGTTGCTGGATCTCCAGTTCTACTTTGAGGTAGATCTTGGTTCTCGCATATACTTTAGCTTTGGTTCTGATCCTTGCAGAGTGCCTCGGCGTAATGCCAGGTTGCATTTTGGTTAATGTTTGATACCTCGGGGTGTTCCAGATTGAATCCTGATTTTTAATGGTTCTCTTAGCCCAGCATAGGCTTGATCCTGGTTCTTTACTGCATTTTTCGATTTCTTATCAGGCTGGATTTTGGTTCAAGCTACTGCTTTCAGATTAATCACAGACTGGTCCTTTGAATCTTCCTGGTTCTGACACCAGAAACCGCCAATTCCAGATGGAAGTCTTCAGAACCGAGTACATGCTTACCAATGGCCCACATGATATTTTTCTGACTTTAGATCGGTCTTGGCAACGTCTTGCGCCGACCCTTCCTTATAAAAGTCTTCAAAAAACTCCAAAGCAGACTTTTTATATGTCAATAAAATAGTGTCACTGAACCGGCGTCAATATTTGTTATCCGCTACCATGGGGGATAGCGGTATGCGTGCAGTTAAATGCCTTTAATTCACAGCACCAGATTTTTGGCGTTAAAACCAAATATTAGCGCCTCTGCTGTGTTCTATGGGACTTTGGGACAACAGAGAAGGGAGGGTACAAACACCCAGTATCCGATAAGGCGCACAAAACATTACACCAGGAGCAACTTTGCAGGCTCCATCCAGCACGCTAAAACTTGGTAGGCGAGTAAAACTCCTGCTTTCATAATGGATGCCACCACAGATCGCAAAACCAATTGAACAAATCAATGCAATATTGTATATTACTAAATACTTTGCTACAGCTTTACAGCCAACACAGCTTTGTTCACTATTTGTATGAACGTTGAAATGCATTGAACCGAGGCATTTCTGATAATATCGTCATCGAGCTGCGAGCCAGAGCTGCTGCCCACGAATGAGCTACATCATCGCCGTGCCGTGCTGTCCCCACATCCGGCAGTGATCTTCAGAGTAGACAAGGGCCTCTCGTCCCCTGGCTCCCCGCCGCGTGGTGCTCCCTGACGTCTCCCCGTCGGAGACGTCGCTGGCCGGGGTCCACGCCCGCCCGATCATGCCGGTCCCGCTGGAGCCCACCAGTACTGGTGCGGTCGGTCGTCACAGACGAGCAGGGCGACCTCCGGGCCGGCGCCGCGCGTCAGGCAACCGGCCCGACTCGGACGTGTACCAGGCCCGAGCCCTGCCGGCACGGCGATGGGGTTAGCTAAAGCACGGCGGCCGTCAGCGGCGGGCACATGGCGACGGAACCTGCTCTGACCCCCCAGCGGCTTCCGGGCCTCCCCCTGACCTCCACCGGCTCCCGGAGCCTTCCATAGCAACTCACTGAATTGCAGGGGTTTCCCACTACACTCACTGACTCCCGGGCCTCCCTACACATCACTGACTTCCGGGCCCTCCCTACACATGCACTGACTTCCGGGCCTCCTTACAAATTCGCTGACTCCCGGGCCTCCCTACACATTCACTGACTTCCGGGCCTCCCTACACATTCACTGACTCCCGGGCGCAGCATGGCTCGCCGCCGGCTTCCGAAGTTTCTGTTCTGCGTCAAGCTCGCGTTGGTTCTGAGTTATCCGTGTTAGCACTTAGTTAAAACCTGGCAACTATCGTGCAATCGTGCAAAGGCTCCGAGGCTTTGCATTAAAAGACTCCTTGTGAACAACAGAGTGGAATTGCATGACAAACATAAAACACCGAGCCAACATCATTCACAGTAAATATGGCAGCAGACCACATATGTGACCAGTTTCATCCACATATCTATATTTCGCCTTGTGAGGTTGAGACGGTGCGACGCGGTGTGGACAGGTGCACATACCTGAGTGAAGGCCCAGGCGTGCTGCTGGCCGTGACAGGGTACCAAGCGGAGCCCGCTGTCCACGCACAGGCCGTCGACGGCGCGCAGCAGGCCCTCCGCACTCAGATGGAAGCTCTGTGGTCAGACAGGGCGGAGTCAGACGTCGGCTAGTCACGGGCAGACGTTCAGGCAGTCAGGGTCACATATCAGCTGGGCGATGTCAGACGGGCCAAGGCCAGACGTCAGATAGGCGGGGGCAGATGCCATATGGGCAGATGTCCGACGCAGGGGCGGGCGTGCCAAGGACAACCGTCAAGAAGCCAGGGGTTGGCGGCGTGAGCACACACGGAGACAGTCACCTGCGTCATCTGGTCGACCTGCACAGGCTTGCTTCATTTAACGCGTCTCTTGCTGCACTTAACACTTAATTGGAAACGTTTCACAAACATCGTTATGATTAAAGCTAACGAGTATAGAATTGTTGTACGCTGAAACGGAGTCATCCAAACTATTGCACGTTGATTCCAGAACGAGCCTGAGCTCACACCATCAGCTCGGCGGAGCGGCTTAGTTTGTCAGGCGAAACCAAATTCTTATGAAGACCGGTGGGGGTTGTGTATTCCCCATAGCCAACATCACCTGATCATCATCGGACGTTCCGACATTTCTGCGACATGGTGCCAGTTCGAGGGCCCGGTGCAGCGGCTCGCCGCGCTTGGCGCTCCTTTGGAGGCAGACCTCCTGTCCCGCGTCTCGGTTGAATAGCTGGCGAACAGGGTAACACAGTTGGCGAACAGTTAACAGTACGTCGCTCATACTTTGATGACAGACAGGGGGCTGAGGAAACAAAACTGGACACGTTTCGGCCAGACCTTCCTTGCCGAAAAGAGAATGGAGTAGAATAAGGCGAACACTGTTGGAATGGGTAGATTGCGAAATTGTGTATGCGCGAAATGTGGAAAACGAACAAGACATCTTTGCCCAATCTCGTGCTCAATATCCTCGGTTGTAGATCTGCCCATAAATGATTAAATACCGTTTATCGCACAAGCCAGCAATTGGTTGAATCATTCCGGGGCATCTGCAAGGTGGGATTTTCCTTTTCCAAGTGTAGCGTAATAAACTATTACAACAATATGCTTAATTAAGCCCCTAGTCAAGTTTATCAGAATCCTATGGCATTGGTTGATGTCACGCGGAGATGGGACGGCTCAGCGCAAGAGGCTTCCGCAAAGCACGAACAAATTGCCAGGGTCAAGTCTTGCTAAGATTATGTCTACGTTATCACACACGTGATGTGGCGTCATAACTAAGTCTTGCACATCTGTAAACAACCGTCCCAATAGTGAAAAACAGGTCTGAATATAAGTATATGGCCTGATTTGATCCGATACATTCCGGGAGGAAGATGCCCCCATATCATGCAGATGTTGTGGCCTCTTTCGACACAGCGGCAACAAACAAACCGGCCTGCCGCTAATACCAACGGCTAGCCCACGCATCATTGGCACATGCAGTACACAACCTAAACTCCCGACAGCGGCAATAGTTTTGAAGACCCGGCTTCGCGCGATCGTCTCGCCGTGGCCGGCGCTGCCCGCCACCCCGACGGCCGGAGCCAGAGGGTGGCAACCACCTGACATCGGGCCGGCGCTCCCCCCCCTCCCCCCCCCCCTCCCACGGCCGGAGTTAGAGGGCGACGGCAGCCACCTGACACCGAGCCGGCGCTGCCCGCCACCCCCGGACGGCCGGAGCCGGAGGGCGGCAGCCGCCTGACACCGTGCCGGCGCTGCCCGCCACCCCCGACGGCCGAAGCCAAGGGCGGCAGCCACCTGACACCGGGCCGGCGCTGCCCGCCACCCCCGGACGGCCGGAGCCAGAGGGCGGCAGCCACCTGACACCGGGCCGGCGCTGCCCGCCACCCCCGGACGGCCGGAGCCGGAGGGCGGCAGCCGCTGACACCGGCCGGCGCTGCCCGCCACCCCCGGACGGCCGGAGCCAGAGGGCGGCAGCCGCCTGACACCGGGCCGGCGCTGCCCGCCACCCCCGGACGGCCGGAGCCAGAGGGCGGCAGCCGCCTGACACCGGGCCGGCGCTGCCCGCCACCCCCGGACGGCCGGAGCCAGGGGCGGCAGCCGCCTGACACCGGGCCGGCGCTGCCCGCCACCCCCGGACGGCCGGAGCCGAGGGCGGCAGCCGCCTGACACCGAGCCGGCGCTGCCGCCACCCCCGGACGGCCGGAGCCAGAGGGCGGCAGCCGCCTGACACCGGGCCGGCGCTGCCCCCACCCGGACGGCCGGAGCCAGAGGGTGGCAACCGC